CGAACCCCGGCTTTCCGGGGGTCACCGCTGTCCCCCCGCAGTTCACGGCGCGTGGTCCCCGTGGGGTCCCTGGTCGCGCTGCGACGTCTCGTGCGGGGGGGGCCGCTCCGTGCGCAGCCGCTCCTGCTCCCGGCCCCCCCCAAAAAACGGGGGCAGCCCCTGCCCCGGGCCGGGGCACGAGCTGCGGGTCTGCAACCCCCGGCCCTGCGGTACGGGGGTGCGGGGGGGCACCGGGAGGGACCGGGGGAGGCTCCGGGACCGGGGGGTCACCGGGGGGATCTCCGCTGGAGACCGGCGGCGGGGGAGCGGCGGGAGGCTGGGGGGGCTCGGGGGGTCCCTGGGGGTGTCGCGGCGCTGACGGTGCCCCCCCAGGCCCGCGGTGCCCGCCCGGGCAGACGGTGTCCCCGTGTGCCAGCCGGTGCCCGCGGAGCTGCCGGGACCTGCAGGAGGGGGTGTCCTGCGCGGGGGGCGCGCCCTGCGAGCCCGGCTGCCGCTGCCCGCCCGGTGAGCCCCCCGCCCCCGTGAGACCCCCGGGGGTCCCGCGGCCCCGGCGCGCCCTGAGCCGCTCCCTGCGCCCCCAGGGACCCTGGAGCAGGACGGGGGCTGCGTGCCCCCCGCGCTCTGCGGGTGCCTGGACGCGCGGGGGCACCTCTGGGTGCCGGGGGGCGGCGGCCACCCCCGCGGCTGCCGGAACTGCACCTGCGCGGGGGGGCGGCTGCGCTGCGTCCCGGGGGGCTGCCCCCCCACCGGGACCCCCCCCGGGACCCCCCCCGGGACCCCGCCCTGCGCCTGGAGCCGCTGGAGCCGCTGGGGACCCTGCAGCGTCACCTGCGGGGGGGGGCGGCAGGAGCGCTACAGGTGAGCGGGGGGGACGCGGGGGTCTGGGGGGGCTCGGGCCACCCTGGGGACAGGTGACAGCCGGGGAGGGGGGCACGGAACCGCGGCACACAGAGCTCGGGAGGGAACGCGGTATCTCCCGGGGGGCATGGCCCTGGGGGGCTGCGGGTGCCGCTCCCCAGGGCCCCGTGTGACCCCCCCATCGCCCCCCAGGACCCCCATCCCCGCCGAGGCCGTGGGGGGAGCCTGCGGGGCCCCCCAGGAGCAGGCTCGGCGCTGCGAGGAGACGCCGTGCCCGCCCCTGTGCCCCTGGGCGGGGGGCGAGCGGGCGCTGGGCGAGCGCTGGAGCCCCGGGCCCTGCCGGCAGTGGTGAGCTGGGGGGCCGGGGGGGCCGGTGGCGGGGGTCTGAGCGCCCCCCACCCACCGCGTGTGTCCCCCCCGCAGCACCTGCACCCCCGAGGGACCCGAGTGCTGGGACACCCCGTGTGCGGCCGGTACGGGGGCCCGAGGGGGACCGGGGGATCCTGGGGTCACACGGGGCATTGGGGGTGATGGGGGGTCCCGGGGGTCCCGGTGACCCCGGTGGCCCCCCGTGCCCCCCCAGAGCCGTGTGACTGGAGCCCCTGGGGGCCCTGGGGACCCTGCGGAGACCCCTGTGCGGGGGGGTCCCGCCTGCGCCACCGGCACCCCCTGAGCCCCGAGAGCGCCGGGCGGGCGTGCGCGGGGGTCCGCACGCAGAGCGAGAGCTGCGCGTCCAGCGCCTGCCCCGGTAACGCCGCGCTGCCGCCCCCTCCCCGCCGCCCCGGGGCGCGGCCCGGGCGCTCAGCGCTGCCGTGCCGCCCCCAGACCCCGGCTGCGGCGGCGGGGGCCGGGCCCGCAGCCCGTGCGCCGGGCGCTGCCCCCGCACCTGCGCGGACACCTGGGCGCCGGTGCTGTGTCTGCAGGGACCCTGCGAGCCAGGTACGGCCGCGCCGCCGCGGGGCCCGCGGGCGTCCCCCCGGTGCCCGGGCGCCCACGGTGCCCCCCGCGCCCCCAGGGTGCCGCTGCCCCCCCGGGCAGCTGCTGCAGGACGGGCGCTGCGTCCCCGTGAGCCGCTGCCGCTGCGGGACCCCCGGCGGGGACCCCGGGAGCCGCGAGGTGTCCCCGGGGACCCTGACCCGGGTCGGGTGTCACAACTGGTGGGTGACGCCGCGGAGGGGGCACGGCTGGGACACGTGGGGGACACGATGGGTGGGCACCGTCACTCGGGGACAGACGGGGGTGGGGGGGACACGGGGGGACGGCACGGGGCCAGGGGGTGGGCAGGCACGGCGGTGGCAGCGGGACGGGCACGGGAACGGTGGGACGGGCACGGGGACGGTGGGACGGGCACGGAGACAGGGTCGGTCGGGCACGGGGTCAGGGTGGGACGGGCACGGGGACGGTGGGACGGGCACGGGAACGATGGGACGGGCAAGGGGTCAGGGTGGGAGGGGCACGGGGACAGGGTCGGACGGGCACGGGGACAGTGGAACGGGCACGGGGACCGTGGGACGGGCACGGGGACGGTGGGACGGGCATGGGAACGGTGGAACGGGCACGGGGACAGTGGGACGGTCGCGGGTGACAGGGTGGGACGGGCACGGGGACAGTGGAACGGTCGCGGGTGACAGGGTGGGACGGGCACGGGGACCGTGGGACGGGTACGGGGGACAGGGTGGGACGGGCACGGGAACGGTGGGACGGGCACGGGGACAGGGTCGGACGGGCACGGGAACGGTGGGACGGGCACGGGGACAGTGGGACGGGCACGGGAACGGTGGGACAGGCACAGGGACAGTGGAACGGGCACGAGGACAGTGGGACGGTCGCGGGTGACAGGGTGGGACGGGCACCGTGCTGGCGGGACGGGCACCGTGGCAGTGCCACACGGCAGGACCCCACGCGCGGTGATGGTGACACGCGTGTCACCCCCGGTGCAGCACCTGCGAGAACGGGACCCTGACGTGCCCAGCGCTGGCGTGTCCCTCGCCGGGGCCCGCCACGCCCGCCACCCCCGTGTCCCCCCGGTCCTCCGTGTCCCCCCCGTCCCCCTCGTCCTCTCTGTCCGCCCTGCTCCCCCTGTCTCCCGAGACCCCCGTGTCCCCCGAGACCCCCGAGTCCCCCGAGACCCCCGAGTCCCCCGCCGTGTCCCCGTGGTCCCCCTGGTCCCGCTGCTCCCGCAGCTGCGGCGGCGGCACCCGGCGGCGGCAGCGGCAGTGCCGGGAGGGCCCCGGGGCGGGGCCGCCGTGCCGGGAGAGCCCCGCGGAGGAGACGGCGGCGTGTAACCCCCAGGCGTGCCCCGGTGAGAGCGGGACACCGGGAGGGACGGGAGACGCAGGGCTGGGGCGGCGGAAAGGAGGGACGGGGGAACGGGGAGGGGAACGGAGGGACGGGGAAACGGGAGAAGGGAACGGAGGGACCGGGAAACGGGAGAGGGGAACGGAGGGACGGGGAAACGGGAGAAGGGAACGGAGGGACCGGGAAACGGGAGAGGGGAACGGAGGGGTGGGAGAAGGAAGGTGGGTGGGTGCACCGAGGAAGGGAGGGAGGGGGTGGACGGAGGGCCGGGGCAATGCAAGGAGGGAGGGCCGGGGATCAGGGCGGTCCCGGTGCCGCTCCCGGTGCCATTCCCGGTGCCGTTCCCAGCGGGATTCCCGGTGGCCCCGAGCTGCCCCCCGGGCGAGGTTTGGCTGGACCCCGGCCCCGCCTGCGAGCGCAGCTGCCAGGACCTGGCGGAGCCCCCCGGGATTTGCGGGGGGACCCCCGCGACCCTCGGAACCTCCGCATCCTCCGCGAGCCCCGCGACCCCCGTAACTCCGGACAGCTCCAGCCCCCCCGGGATCCCCGCGGCCCCCACGACCCTCGGCACCCCCGCGACCCTCGGGACCCCCTCGCCGCCCCCGCGCTGCGCCTGCGCCCCGGGGCGGTACCGGAACGGCTCCGGGCAGTGCGTGAGCGCGGGGGGCTGCGGCTGCCGGCACCGCGGGGCGCCGCGAGCGGTGAGCAGGGCGGGGGGCGCGGGGCGGGGGTCCCCGCTCCCGTGTCGGGGGTCCCTGACCAATATTTGGGGTCTCCGTCCCCCTGCAGGCCGGCAGCGAGTGGCAGGAGCCGTGCGGGACCTGTCGCTGCTCCGAGGGACGCGTCACCTGCGCCACCTCCTGCCCCGCACTCACCTGCCCGGAGGTGGGGGGCTCCGGGGGCGGTCGGGGGGCGCGGGGGGGTCCCCGCGGGCAGGGGCTGAGCCTGGGGGTCCCCGCAGGGCGCGGAGCCGGTGCGGGAGCCCGGGAGCTGCTGCCCCGTGTGCCGGGACGAGTGGCCAGGTGAGAGCCGCAGCCGGGAGCCGCGGGGAGGGGCGGTCCCGGCGGCCCCCGCCGCTGACCCGGGGCCGTCCCCCCGGTGCAGAGGAGCCCCCCGGGCCGTGCCGGCTCCTCACGGCGCTGCGGACCATCGCCAAGGGCGCGTGTGTGCTGCGGGGCGTGCGCGTCTCCTACTGCGCGGGGGCGTGCCGCTCCCGCACCGCCGTCAGCGCGCAGGTACGGGGGGCGCGGGCGGGGGCCCGGGGCCGCTCCCGGAGCCGCCTCGGCACCGGGGCCGCCCGGGGCGCGCCTCGGCCGTGACCGCTGTCCGCAGGAGCCCTACGTGCGGTCGCTGTGCGAGTGCTGCAGTTACCGGCTGGACCCCGCGCGGCCCGTGCGGGCCCTGCTGCTGCCGTGCCCCCGCGGCCGCGCCCGGCCCGCGCTGCTGCCCCGCATCGCCGAGTGCCGCTGCGAGCGCTGCCGCGGTGCGGGGAGCGGGGGA